ATATTACACTAACATCTTTAAAACTAAATTTTAGTTCACTCCTGTTTGCAGATAAGATAATGACTGATCAAAAAATTGCACAAAATCCCTCTGCAGTAAATCTGACCCACTACTGTGTCTCATTAATATTAAAACAATTAATGAAAATAAAACCAGTGATGATTATTATCAAGAAACCAAACTGTTTTTAACCTTCTTTCCCTTTCCTCTAATCACTGAATGGACCAGTGAATGGACCAAAAATGATCAATAAATGATCAATGAATGACCCCTGAATGGACCAATGAATGACTGCTGTGAGAAGCGTCACCTGCTCTGATTGGCCAGTTTGTTGCGGAGGGATGGGACTTTGGACAGGACTTTGTGTGGGGGGTTTGTCATAGTTGTCACACTCTTCTTGTTGGGGGAGTGGGCTGGAGTTGCAGTGACAGTGGTTAAGAGGGGGGGCGCGGTGTCTTTTGTTGTCACGGTAACCAGCTCGAGACTGTTGGTGGTTGACACAACAGGTTTGGTCAGAGTAGTCTGGATCTCAGCTCTCCGAGCCAAAGCCACCCTCAGCTTCTCCCTCATCTGCTCAATTTGTTCCTGTAGCTCCTGCAGCTCACCTGGCTGTGGTGGGGGCGGAGCTGGAGCTGGGGCTGAGGCAGGTGGGGGTACTGTTATTGAAGGAGTGGTTATTAAAACAGTGGGAGTGGGTACAGATATAAAGGAAGATGTAACCACAACGGAGGGAGGGGCTGAAGACACAGAGTGAGCTGTTACAACAGTGGGAGGGGCTTTGGACACTGTGGGAGGAGCTTTGGACACTGTGGAAGGGGCTTTGGATACAGTGGCACTGGGTTGAGCAGAGGAAGAAGCGGTGCGTGAAAACACCAGACTGGCAAAGGAAGCAGCTGGTCCTCCGTTCTCATACAGGCTGTTGATCTCCTCCAGTCTGGGCTTGGCTGACTCTCTGCTGTTGACCTTAGCCCCGCCCCCTTTAGCATCAGAAGATGCAAGGCGAGCGAGCAGGCGGCGGGTGTTGAGGGTCTCCAGACTAAACTGAACACGTCTGAAGTCTCGAGCCTCTATGGTGGAAGCAGTTGCAGCATCGTTGCTGCTGTCGTTGTTCCACTTAGCTGAGGTTCCAGAGGCCGGGGCGTTTGGGGGACCCGGGGGGCCAGGGGGGCCTGAGGCAGTCTGGGTCTTCTGCAGGTTGCAGCTGGACCAAAACAGTGAAACAGAGGTGTAGTTAGTGGGTGTCCACATATTGAAACACAGTAGAGTTCTACAGTGTTTCCTCCGAGGACTGTCCTACCCATCAGGTTCCACATGTCTGCAGTTCTGATCTGCAGTTTCCTCTAACAGCATTCACAAACATACAGGTGTACTTAGTTCATGCTGCGACTCACCTTTTCTCTTTTTCAGCTCGCTGCCTCTTCACATCTTCATACGTCATGTTCAGAGCTCGGTGAATTTTCTGTCAGACAAAGACCACTTCAGCTGAAGGTTTGACACWACAACACGCAGCAGAGGACAATGTTTCACCTGAGAGGTGTGCAGCCAGTATTTCAGGTTCTGTCGGCGGCGGATGTGTGGCAGGACAAGTCGATAAAAACCATGTTCACCTGCAAGAGTCAGCAGAGCTCCGCCCACTCCGATGCATAGCATCAGAAAGAGTCCTGAGAAGTGACTGATGCCCATCTGAAGGGTCTGGAAAAACCCAGGAGAAAGAAACTGAGTGTGTTTCTGTGGCTGCCTGCAGGGGGCAGTGTTGTGGAGTTCACGTGTTTCCTAGTTCTCACTGAGCCTTACAACAAAACCAGATTCTAAACTACAGTGGGGAAAATAAGTATTTAGTCCGTCACCAGTTGTGCAAGTTCTCCCACTTAAAAAGATGAGAGAGG